GATGCTGAGATCACGGCAGAATTCACCAGTGTTCAATCGGATTGTGACACCCCCGACGGAGGACATTTCGATCAACACTGTCAGTATTGCCCCGAAAGCAGGTAAGATGTTACATGCTTTGAAACACCGACCAAACATGCATATCGGGGTGCACTATGCCGACCAGGCAAAGGAGTATGCTGTGCCAAATAACTGCAATGTACTGATCGGGGAGGATAAACACCGTGAATACAAAGCATTTGTGCAGCGAACCAACAAGCGTGATGTTGAAAAGGTTTTACTGATTCATGAGAGCTTCAAACGCACTATATCCTTGGTTCTTGATGGGGCTCTTATGGAATCGGAACCCTATATCAGCAGCCAGATGAAGCAACTTCATCGCGAATGTCCGATTCTCATGCAAGACCTCGTGCGATCGGAACACAATGAGCAACAAGATGATGATGAGAATGCCGACGAAGCCGATGATTCATATGCTACCACCCCCTTCCATACCTTAATCAATGCCTACTGCCGACTACCAGCTAGCCGCAAAGTCATGGAATTGCTTGGTTTACAAAGCGCGCGGCTTTCCGAACTACCAATTACGCATTCCTTTTTGCAAAAGCTCCGACTTTCATACAGCAGTGATTGGGCATATCAACATATGCTTGGCGGAGGTTCGACCCCAATCCGATTGTTTCAAAAGCTGACCTTTACATTCAATGGAGATGCGCATCGCACTACATTGAAACTCGATGATCTGGTTGAGTATACTCGTGCGTCGGGCACCAAGATCAGGCAAATAAGGTGCATATTCACCCACAACCAGGGCAGCTGCTGGAGGGTTTTTTTTGCCATGTTCTCTGCTCATGAAATTCGGCGCGAGAGGGTACTGGATTTGCCGATTTTGCAGGTGAATCGGGATGAGATTCATATAATCGGCCTACCTGCAATCCGCAAACCAAGCCTTTACACAATACCTGTCAGCAAAGATTCCAAAAGGCTCGAACTGGATTCTGCTCTGCCGACTACCTTTCTCAACTGCACTTGGAGCGTTTCCTTTTTATAGGTGGATCGGGCGGTTTGATGTATGTAGTATTGCGCATTAGTTGAAATCTCTCCAGTGTCTGCTGGGGTAACTATACTATAATGGTTTCTATACTATAATGGTTTCTATACTATAATGGTTTCTATACTATAATGGTTTCTATACTATAAACATTTATAAACCCGAAAAGGTATCCCGAACGTTCCTAGATATATTCGTTGATCAGGGGTTTGAACGTTTCCCGATTTCTACGTTGAGGATCGGAAGCTACGTTTCCGAATTCGGAACGTATATATTTTTAAACTTCCAAACAACCGTGGATTCGGATAAACGTATATTCCGACGTAAACGTATCGGGACTAGTGGATCTACGGTTTACAAATCCTCCCCATTTCTGCTATGGTAATCTATACGGGTCATGTGAGTAAGGTTTGCTTTGGTTTGGTTTTAGTCATACGCTGTCCCAGCCGCCTATTGGGCAGCTACGAGGCACCAGCCATATCGGATTTTTATAGGCCCGAAAAACCGTGGAACCCCAAGGTTCCAAGTCCTTAGCGCTGTTCCGCAGGTGCAAGGGAAAGGCTAGGTAAGACTTTCGGCAGTAAATTCTTGGACAGTAGCCGAAAAAGAGCTCCCAAATCCTCTCCCTTCTTTGATTTCAGTGAATTGGGGGTCACTCTCCAATGTAATTCCACAGCGAAACATATCTGTTGCATCTTTTGGAGGCTGGAAAGTTGGTCTTCTGTGACCTCACTTGTCTCTGGGCTGGCCGGCTCGCAGGTGGGAATTCTGTATCCAATGGAGATGCTCTTCAAAAAGCACAACATCCAGCAAGCCATGCATGAATACCTCCCAAAGGACTTTCAAACATATCATGAAGAGTCACAGGAGGACACTAGGCTAGTGGTGAACAGACCCAGGTCCGTGACCATGCAGGGTTTCCACTAGCAAGAAGGGCAAATCATTCCAAGCATTAAAGCTGAGGATTATCCAGCCAAATATGACCACGAAGATTCTCTCCACCAGATGCAAGATCTGAATCCTGATTGCAGAATAATATTTTTCTAAGAGTCTGCATGGCTGAGGGCCCCCATTTTGTGAGACAAACCTTTGAGTACCCAGGTGGACTGAACTGATACAATCCCTGACAAGTGATCATCCTTCACGGAAGTGATGTACCTTACCAGTGACCCAGTGCTAAGTGAGAAACAATCATGGATCATGCAGAGGCCAGCATGTATGTGGTGTCTGATAAATTGGCACTGAATTGGATCCTCCAGGAATCTTTTCGCACCAAAATGATACAACCTCAACCAGCAACACTCAACTTAACCCTTCCCTCTCCAGCCTCCCGAAACCCGAAATATCCGGATGCAAAATATATTTACTTTGCTTGGCGTGGTCCAATTGCACATGAGCTCCGCGATATTGAGTCACTGAATGCCTCTAACCTTGGATATCAGCGGATCTTTGACAATATTGATAAGTTTTCCCCCTTGGCAAGCTCAAAGTGATGCAGCCATGCAACCATACTGCCAGGGGCTGAGGTTTTTGCAAGCTGCTACCATTAATCTACCCGGCATGAAATGGATGTCTCCCGCTCGTTTCCGCGGGGGTCCTCCACTCTGTGGGATGGTTTTGGTGTCGGATGGAATATAAGTTTCCAATGACCTGCTCCTCAGAAAGCTATTCTTGTTTGTTTCAGCTGGCCATACTCTTTTGCATCCCATTCTCCAACATTCAGATTGTTCTTGGAATAATTGTCTGTTCTCACTGCTCCTGCATTGAAATGCGTCTTTCATCTTCTTTGATTGCCCTGGTGGCATTGGCCGGCCAAGCTCTTGCTTTGCCTTTCAATGAGTTGGCTGAGCGTGATACTGGACTTGATGTCAAGCTGATCCCCATTGGAAACACCCGTGTGAAGGCAATCATCACCAACAATGCTGACCATGAGATGTCCTTTGTGAAGTATAATACCTTATTTGACTCCTCGCCAGTGCGCAAGGTCCAGATCTCTAAGGATGGTATATATTTCTATACTGCATTATATTTTTTTAAGACATCAGTCCAGTGCTTACTGACTTTTAGGCTCTATCATTCCTTTCAGCGGCATCCACCTCTACTATGACATTGACAACCTTCCCAAGGAGGCTTACAAGACTTTGGCTCCGGGTGCCAGTGCTGAAGCTGAATTTGACATTGCTGAGACATCTGACCTCTCCGCCGGTGGCTCTTTTAAGATCTCTGCTGAAGGCAGCATTCCTGTCATTGATGGCCAGGGCACTAAGCCCACCAGCTCGATTCGTTTTAAGGCCAATACCTTGACCATGGATATTGATGGTGAAATGGCTTCCAAAGTGGCTAGCGCCATCCCAGAGCTTAACAAGCGCACCCGTGTTGACAACCAGAGCTGTACTGGTCAATATGCCCAACTCCTGCAAGGCGGTCTTCGCACCTGTGTCACCTATGCCCAGCGTGCTGCCCAAGCAGCTTCCGGGGGGAATGCTCAGAAGTTCCAGGAATACTTCAAGACCACCGATCAACAGACACGCCAGAATGTTGCCCGCCGCTTCCAGGCCATTGCCCAGGAATGTAGCTCTGCCAACCAGGGCCGCACGATCTACTTCTGCCGGGATGTCTACGGCTACTGCCAGGGTGCCATTGCTTACACCGTCCCAGACCGCAGCCATGTTGTCAACTGCCCAGCCTACTGGAGTCTCCCTCCTGTTCTCAACCGCGGTCTTGGCCCTGACCATGGCTATGTTATTGTTCACGAGTTCACTCATGCTCCTAGTGTTTTCAGCCCTGGCACTGTTGACCATGCTTACGGATATGAGCAATGCAGGAGACTTAATGCCCAGCAGTCTCTTAACAATGCTGACAGCTACTCTCTCTTTGCTGCTGGTCAGTATTCATCCCCCTGTTTGCCATACTTTATAGGACCTGTTGATGCTAATTCATTGTAGATGTCTCCCGCAACTAAGGCATATCTTCTTCCTGCTGGCCAGTGATGGAATAAAGCAACTAGACTGTGCAGCCCCTTCATTCTTTCTACTACAGAAGATTTTGTACATACTCTCTGATTCAGTATTCAATATATATTGCTGATTTCTCCTCATGTTCCTGTGTTAGGTTTAAGTAAGGAGATTAACAGATGATCATTTTTTGATACAGACTCTCAGTCCTTCAGAGGGCATTGTTAGCTTTAATGGGAAGAAAGAGCATGTAGATAAAGACAATAAATCAACCTTCAATAGTTGGTAGTGAAATCAAGTATATGGTAGATAATCTTTCACAGAACTACTGGGGTTTTCTACCACTTTTTTATTGGTTATTATGATGACTGTACCCCATACAGTACAGGAATATTATGATCAGAGGCCATTTCTATCTGGCTTGATTTTTTGTATATGAGTGTGTTTATGAGGTTCAATTACTGTACAGAGTACTCTTTACTTTGTAGAGTACAATATAACACACCATGTAAGCATCTCACCAAAAAGGTTCAGGATTCTTACCTGATAGAAGTACATATCTTTCATAGCCCTCATAACTTAAATTTCTTTAAATCTTTCTCTTTTCTTCACAGGGCTTAAGAGCAAAATACAGAAGAGAATCTCTCAGTTTGGCGAGCTGCCTAATACTTGGAAAGCTACTCCGTATAGCTAAAAAGGCATGCATATCTAGCGAACATTAATAGTGTGGATACGGCTTTGCGCGCAAGCTCGGAGCACGTGCGCACATTGTCCCGAAGAATGCGCCCCATACCCGAGGCCCCTTCGCAATGTCTGGTGATTGCTGCGCGCAATGTCCGTGGAGTGATGTGATTTACGAAAGCAAAGCCCTTGTAACGCGCGACAGGTTATTATGCTGCGAAGCTTCTGTTTGCATTATGGTGCAAGCTTTTGAGAAGAATCAAGTCAGCAAGATGACCAGGTGGAAAACATATTTTTATCTTTTGAAAGAATGGTTACAATCGCGTGTGCTGCAGAAGAAGAAGTGGAGATGACAGATTACACATTGAGCAGGCTTTGTGCAATTTATCTGGCCAGCTGTTGCGCGCACTATACAGACGCTCGCTTTCGACCGGGTCTAGGACCCGTTAGCTCCAACAAGTCCTATATTCTTCCAAATGTGATTAGAACCTACCGAGCTCTTTTCTATACCAGCTCTCTAAGATTTCCTGCGCCTGATCTCTATCTATCTTGTTGACCTGCTGCGAACCGCCCAGCTGCTCTAGCGACGCTAGTCTGGTCGTGGTCAGGACGGACCCATGGTCCGCGCCAGAGCAGTACTGTTGGACATTATATGCAAGCGGGTCTGCGGCGTGCGAGCTATAGTCTCGATCAACATTGTCAAACACCACCAGCCACTCAGTGTTGTCCGGTTGCGCAAGCCAGTCCATTGTTTCCCTCACTACCTTGTCAATATTGCCCGTAGAGTTCATGGAGTATGTTCTGCTCGCATCTGAGATTTGGCTCGCAGGAATCCTACGGGCGCATCTTGCAATGCTTAGCTTAAGGCTGACTTTATCGCTTCCGTCGAGCCAAAACACCGAACTGAACTTGCGACGGTGTCGCCGTGTGAACTCGACAGCAAGCTGTGTCTTGCCTATGCCGCCGAGTCCATGGAGTACAAAGATCTTCTGTCGCATGTTCTGCCTCTGCGGCAGAAGTACTCGTTCGAGCTCTGCCATCTCGCCGGGTCTCTCCACAAATGTTTTCACTAGGGGAACGCCTTCAAAGCTAAAGTTTGTCTGGTATTCTCCAATGTCTACGCAGAGTGACTTAGCTACGTAAAGGTCTTTGGACTCTAGATGACTACTTACATTCTCGGCTCGCTAGGTTGCCCGCACATGCCTGCATCAGCTTAAACACGTCCTTGATGCAATATACCGCCGTGTCGCTGCTGCAATTTCCTTGCTCTTCATCGACTCTTCAAGCCCGACATCCTCCAACCCACTTCCACAACTGGATTGTTCGCGCCCGTCGCCCCGTCCACAAACCCTTCCTTATACGGGCCGATCGCAATCGGGCTGAAGAAGGACGATGCTGCTGACGTTGCACGGCATGCTTCCCACTTGACACTGTTCAGGAGGTCGTTGTGGCCGCGTGGGTGTTTGTAGCTTGTGAGACATACAGTCTCGCTGGTTTCTGCACTCGTCGCGCATACACACCTGTAGGAGTCGCCAGCTTGCCTCAAGGTGCTGTTTCGAACAGGGATTGAGATAAACACACACTTTGCATGCCATTTCCGAGCCATTCTTTAGCAGCGCATCTTCGGGAACTCCCTGTGCTTTGACAACCTCTTTCACAGCTTGCTCCAGCTCATCAGAGTCGAACCGCGCTTGTATCTTGCCCTTATCGTCACTCTGTGCTGCTTCTTCTGGAATATCCTGTTCGAGAGGTGCAGGGGTACGCATTGATGCAGTCATCAACACTCATCTTCAGCCGGCCGAGCATGATTGCGATCAACCTTGTCAATCAGCACTAGATCGTTCAGCTGGCCTTCATAGTGACGTACCCGCCAGTGCTTGTCCCGCAGATCATGTCAAAGTAGTCGCACGGTTCCGGCGGCGCGTCTGGGTCGATGGCCTCCATGAGCTGCTGGAGAATCATCAGCGCGGACAGGCCGCACCGCCGCCATCAATGGCCAGCAGCTTGATGTCTTGCTTCGGCATGCTTTGTTGTTGCTGCTATCTTTCAAGCAGTATGTGCTTTATCTCGGCAGTCTCCCAGGCCGAAAACCCAGTGAAACCGAATGTAGTGCATTTAAGGTTGCTTGGAGCGGGACGGCTCTCCCCGCAGCCTCTTGTGCTTCCAGCTGAAGGATTGGATGAGAGGCATCCAAACAAGTGTGGGGGCTGTGCAGAGGTCAGTGCTTTGGAGAGGGATTGAGTCCGGCCGTGGTTTGTTTGCAGTGAAAACCCAATGCTTAGTTGGCTAAAGGATACACCATTGTTGCTGTGCTAAGAAAAGCAAATCATGCTGCAGGCGCTTGGGCCTCTTGCCTGCCAGCCAGTAGTGTGAAAGGAGAACAATGGGCCTAGGCATCAAGAAATCACAAACCTAACAGTTTCAGGGACTCTATGGCTGCATGATGCAGGTCACCCCTCTCACAGTACATATTTCCAGCAATGTGGCCATCAACAACTGGCTTGCTGCAACCTGCAATTCAATGGTTACACAACACGAACCCAAAACCCAAGACGTTTGCTGGCTATTGGTATGCTTATACTCTGGAGCTTGCTGTAATATTGCAAGATCTGAGATATTTTATTACAATGTTGGAGATGCCAGCAAATGAATCTCAACTAAAATTTATGGAATGACTGGTTCTGATCTGTCTGATTTTGTCAAGTCCTACCACAAATAGGATATTTCCATTACGGAGTACGGAGTACGGAGTACTCTGATCAGCTCATTGTGTAACCTGTTAGCCTGATGGCCAACAAAGCCAGAATTCTGGGGGTTATATTTATCCCTGCTTAACATCACATCTCTAGGTGACTCCGCATTGTTCTTCATGTGCTGTTTTCCCTATATTAAGAGCATGGAGCACAAGTTTTATTCTCGCTTCCCAGGCTTCCAGCCCAATCCATCCGCATCTGCAATAGATGAATTTGCTCGTCTGGCGCGTCATATGAACTGGAACCTCCGCTCTAAGGTCTACCGTACAGAGTGGGCAAGATTTAGTGCTTTGGAATTCGCTAAGCACTACGGCGTTGAAACCTCAAGCCTCGAAAAATGGCAATCGCTATGCCGTGAGCTGGACATTTCCAAGCCTACTGAAAGCATCGCCAAATGCAAAAAGGTTCGTATCTGCCGTTATCTCAAGAATTGAAATCTAACCAGTCAAAAGGCACTTGCCAGCGTGCACGTCAATATTTTTGATCTAATCGACTCTCGCCGGACTGGTGCTCCAATCACCAAATTTACAAATGTTCGAGCGCTTAGACGGTACACAAAACAAAGTGGGAAAATATTTCCCAGAGGGGCCGCTAAACGGGATGGCTTCCTCAGTGCATTACTGCGGGAAATATTCTAAACCAGTGTCGGGAAGTGTTCGGTGATCTGGGGCATCACATTGATGTACTTAAGTAATAACGCTTTTGGTCGGAGTCTGGTTCATATGACGCGCCACACGACCATATTCGTATATTTCAGAAAATGAATTGGGTTGAAAGCCTTGAAAAGCCGTGTCCTTTGCTCTAGCTCTTAGTTTTCCGAAGGCTTCGTGTGATGGTTTTTACATTTTCAAAGTGTTTCTATCCACTTCTACATCTAAGCATTAATACCTCAGATAAGTCCAGCGGTTTGGGATACATGGCACTTCAGTTGGGATGGAGATTGATGTATGTATAATTGACTCAACTTCCTTTTCCTTATTTAGGTGTTAATATTGGACCAGGGGGAAGTGTAGCCACGATCGCAGGTTTTATCTTCATGAATGGGACCTACGCGCCAGATCTTCTTAAACAGAAGCCGAATCCGTTGCGAGAAGCACCAAGACGCGATCTGAAGACTAAGTTCGACAATGGTGTTAAACAGTGGAGGGATTCATTAGAAGCTCCATCAGGGGGCCAACAATGATATTGATACGATCACCCATCGTGGTCATTCTCTCTTTTCCACCTATCTATTGTCTACGACTGTTGATACCTGTTTTTGACAACTTACACGGAGAAACATTTATGGCTTCAACTCAGGCAAAGCTGGACTTGCTTACCTGGGGCTCGGGGTCGGGTTCTCTACTGGTCAGCTCTCTGTGACTTCTTTCTCAGACTGGTACGCAAAAAGGCAGCAGGGTCTCTGTGGATCAACTCGGATTGAAGATCGACTGCCTCTGTTACTACTAGGACCATTTCTGGTTCCGGTCGGCCTCTTCTGGTAAGGTTGGTCGGCTAATGCTAATATGATACCCATCGGATCGTTCCCATTGTCGAGACATGAGTTTTGGGGGCGGGGACGGAGTAAATTTTCTTTTCACTTCATATGTATTTAGTTGATGCCTTCACCATCCATGCTGCCAGTGCAGTGGCAGCCAATACTGTCACTCAGTTGTTGTTTGGGGCGGTCATTCCCCTGGCCAGCAATGCACTGTACGCGCGGTTTGGGTTAGGCAATGACGGGTTACTCCTAGCCAATGGTCAAGGTACTGCGGCTTCCTGGTAAGATGTGGTCAACTGATAACAGCATGATAGGAAGAAATATATGTAGAAAAGAGTATGCAAGGTAAAAGGTCTGTATTCTGACAACTATGTACAACTTCTAGACAAGATTGCCACTGGCTCCCAGCAAGGGGTTCACACAGTGACAGCCTTTTATGTGTGCTTGTGAGCACATGACTTAATGCCTTGTGAGGACACATGCAGCTTCCAACAGCTTGTGAGCTGAGGCCCTTGGCCCTCACAGGTGTTGTTCATCTGTGTAAGGGGTTCACAGTGAATCCTTACAGTTGGCCTATGTTTCTAACAACCAGCTATCTTGTTCTTGCTCTACTACTAGGCCAATTCAGCATATGGCATTTTAAAAATAACTCTATAAAGCTCTCTTCAAATCTGCTGACCCTCTACCACTGCAATGATCAAATATGGATCTTATTCATTCACAAACTACATTGTCAGCTATGGCAGTTTGTGCCTGGTGTCAGTATAAAAAGTACTAGAGTCAAATGAAGAAAGGCTGGGTTTCTAGATTACTGCATGGTTGCTCAGTTTGTATAGTAGCTCTCTGCCTCAAGAGGCATTGCTGGGAAGAGTTCCATTCTATTATGAGTCATAGAATGGTATATAGTGGACGATTGTGCGGACACAGGGGGAACAGCGCGGCCGGATAGTTGTTGCACCCAAACTCCCTCCGAATTGCTGTAACTAGATGCCAACACATATTTCATTCAAAGTTTCTTAGCAACTTTCTACACCTCGGAAATCAACGGAGGATCGACTAGTTAGCGGTGAGGCAAAACTGATCTGCTAAGGAGCAGTAAAATGCAACAGGGGCGTTTCTGCACTGTTACCTCACTCCGTCACAATGACCTTTCCAAGAGACCAAGCCTAGCAGTTGCAAGAGCCGGGGATATGGTTAAGACTTTCAATGGTATCGAACCGGCGAGCAAGGCAGTGCTTTTAACTGATCAAACGCGTTTACATACCAATGTAGCACTGCACCGGCTGCGAGTGTTTCAATCCAAAGAGTGATATAATACATCCAGATCAATCTCGGATCCACCGTCAACAGCGAGAACGCCACTGCGATTATGGCTCCCACAGACACGGTCGATAGATATACGGCCATGATCAGCGATTTCTTCAACTTGGATGCCTTCATATATGCGTACTTAATGCCTGCTATTGATGCGAGGATCTCCGGAAGCACGAGTAAGGGATTCGCGGGAGCTTGAAGGAATACGGATACTTGATTGGGCACCTTTCCGCACATACATCTCAGCGTTCGTGGATGGACGTAGCTATTGGTCTTTGCTTGCCCAGATAGTCATAGACCCAATACAAAAACCCGTACCTGGGAGAGCAAACACAGGGGAAAAGCCGTTCTTCTGCTCAATTACCATTGAAGCCAGGGCAGCGTATAAGAGGAACATTGTGAATATCCTTTCTACAATATTAGCACTCAACCCCAAAAAAAAAAAAAAAAAAAAAAAAAAAAGGAAAAAAAGAAAAAAAGAAAAGAAAAGAAAAGAAAAAAGAAAAAGGAAAACGAAAAAATGGCAAAGTGGTAATTGTAAGAAACAAACCTTTCAGGTCTCTATCAATGGCCAATGCCCTGAGCAACGGGGACGACAAAAACAGAGCCGACAATCAAACAGTAAATTGCAGACGAGTAACTATCTCATGGTTTTCACTCATCCAATGTACTGGCCTGCAAAAACATTACGCTCTAGCCTTGACTTAATGGAAAATGATGGGTGCTGAATAGAGAACTTTTCAATATCAGTAAAACTTTTTCAACAGAGCAGTTTGGATTTGCTGAGAGACCCTTGTATCTTAAATGTCAAGCTCAGCTGCGGTGTCGTCTGTTCTTTCTCCCCCCTCATAGCAGCTACAGCTGACCTGAACTGAGCCAGCACTCTGTCTCCGGCCCAATCTCGTTACCCATTGCAGTGCAATCGTAGAGACGGACTGGGATCACCTTGCCGAAGGGAACTCATAGGCACTCTCTCAGCCAGACTCCATAAGTTGGATTTTTGATAGGGCTGTCACCGGCGGAAGACGAGATAAGTGCGCCGTCACCTCGGGAAATATCACCCCTAACACCCCAGGGAACTGTGACCTTTGCAGTAGATTGTGTCCAAAAATCCTGTGATACGTTTGTTCATCACACAATGGTCTATTACATGAATTGCTGGAATTACCATATCTTGTTCTGAGGCTGAAGGGCTGCACCTGGGGAGATTTCTGATAGAGTGTCTCAAGATATACCTGTCAGGACCACTTAATCGCCTTGAACAAGCTGCAGGAGAGAGAGCAATTGGGTTACTTAGTCATTTGATGTGCACACTGCATGTACACCTGTGAAAGCATAATCTGTCACAGTAATTCATGCCAACAGCAGCAAAGCCACCACCATGTACCCCATCATCAACACCATGATGAGGCGCATAGACAATTAAAAGTAAGAATGGGCCACAAGTAAAGTTCCTCAGGCTACTGGTACAGCCTTCTCTCTTAACAAAAGCAAGTTCATTTGTCTATAAAGGCCATGGTCTCTAGGAGCAAGCATTGGGTGGCTGGGGTAGCAGTAGGCAGAATCTGTGTGGATATCCCATACCCAGCATTCAGCATGTCTATGCGCCTTTATCTCCAAAAAGATCTTTTTCAAGCAATCCCCGGCAGATGGGGTGGTAGAAGTTCTTGTGCTTTTCAAATGTATCAACAGCAATATCCCTGTTAAATTTCTCCAGCGTCCGGTACCTCAATTCAGTCAGCACAAATGGAAGATATAGACATAACAAATATCAGCAACTAAGCACTGATTCTTAGTGTCACTTACAGAGGGCGGACAAATTTCATTCTCCCAATCTCTCCGAGCAGCTTGATTGTCGGTTCCACAATGGAATCATCCCCAGCCTTCAAGCCCACTTGCAGGTACAGGTACGACACTTCAATATTCTGACTTTGGGCAAAATTGTAAACTTGTCCCATGAACCTTGACTGTTCGGGAGTAAGTGGGTTGTCAAAGAGAAGAACTTGCTCAAGGAACACAACAATTTGATTTGCCACTAAACCGTCCATGTCGGATGCTTTTGGCGAGAAGGACGATTGGGAAATGTATTTCCATTTGTTTGCTAACTCGTAGACAACGTCCACTAAGGATGTGTCAAAACTGGGTTTCGGAGGAAGGCCAGGTTTGTAGAACCAGCTATCCCAGTCAAGCTTGTTAAGAAGTACATGAGACTCCTCATCAGATGCGAAAAAATCAAGTATGCACGACTTGAACTCATACGAGTCCAAGGACTTGCCCCTAAACCGGGTAAAGTACTAATTTGACTATCGTCAGTCTCGGCTAATGATGCAGGGGCTGCTGTTCGCATACATGAGGGATGAACTTATCAAACTTATCCTTGCCAATCAAGTTCTCAAGGTGGAATATGAAAGTAAATCCCTTTTCATATGGCACTGATGAGAACGCATCGTCGGGGTCTTTCCCCTTCAAATCGACAACGAGCTTGGTAAACTCGTGGGTGTCGCCATGCCGCTCGACTGAATCAACGAGGTGCTTCCAACCAATGATTGCAGAAAAATGTCGATATGGTTCGCCGTGACTGCAAGAGGGCTTGTTATCAGCAAGCTCTTGCGAAGAAATAAAAGGCTTGTCGACTCACATTGCTGCTTGAATCTACGAACCGTGTCAGCATAAATCTATGTATGTCCGTACCATATAAAAACACAGTGGAGACATACCCGCCGTTCCAGGTAGGTGGTCCAGCCTTCATTAAGCCAGAAATGCTCCCACGAGCAGTTTGTCACCAGATTGCCACTCCAGCTGTGAGAAATCTCATGCGCAATGACGTCGACATTTTGCCGATCCTAATGATAGTGTAAAGAGAAGGTCAATCTCGACGCAAAATTTGATAAACCCAAGGCCAATCTAGATATTTGTGTCTCACCTTCGAGATAATACTTGGAGTAGCGAAGGTATAGACAGGGTTCTCCATCCCTCCATACGGGAAACTCGGAGGTAGGATAAGGACGTTATACTCTCCCCATACATACGGGAAGATAATATTCTAGAGATTTTCAGCGTCATTCCCATACCGTTAGGGAATCTCAATTCCATTGTTCATACACCTATGGTCTGCAGAAACCTCTCGGTATCGCCCTCAAGCTCCCACTTACATTCGTCAAGCCTGTCTGGGCTCACGGCAACATGGCTCCTCGGGCCAATCTGAGCTTGCGCGATGTCACTAAACTCGACGTAAGCACAAAGTTCAAACAATGTCAGGTTCCGGAAGACGCCAAGGGAACATACCCGCTGGCGATGGCAAAGAGGTATGACGGGATTGGAACCTTCTGCTCGAAACGATAATAGATGCTACCCGATGACTGCGGAGGGGACGCGTCTTGTTTGACGGGCACGCCGCTCGCAATAACAGGAAGTGGTGAAGAGAGATTGAAGTCGAAGGTGGCCTTGACGTCGGGGGTGTCCTGGCATGGAAAGATGGCGCGAGCATGGATTGCCTGGCACTGCGAGACTGTAGGACCGATATGAGTTCAGAAAGCAGTAAACTCATCGAGCAGATGCGTTGAAGGAGGGCTTACACATATACGGGTGCTTTCCATTGGAGGTTTGCTCCGGATTTAACCACTGCAGAGCCGTGCATTTCTCGGTCGTGTTGACTGATATCTGTTGATGTCGTGCCTGTCAGAGCGCGGGAGCTTCCACCAAAAGGCGACAGCATATATCAATGTCTTTCCACATACATCGACCTCAATTAACTCGTCAAGGGGAATTGCCTGCTCCAAGCTGATCTTCAGCGGGCTGCCGTAGGGTTCAAAACGCGGCAAGAGCTGCCACTCTGCCGCCTCCCCGTTGACCTTGACACTCTTGACTTCCAGGTAGCTGGAATCCAGAATGACTTCCTTTGATTCGGCATTGGTCAAGGACTTTAAGCGATGGATCACATTGCCAACGAGCCTCTTCTGGTCAAAGCGGATCTCGAAGTTGACACTGGTATGGACAGTGCGGAACTTGTTATAATTGGAGAGGGTATTTGGGTCACGGAGTGGATTCGCAGGAGTCGCCATCTTCATCCATTCAACGCTTTTATTTCGTTTTCTCTTTCTGTTTCTCTCTCCATCCGTCGACTCTATTCCGGCGTGCGGGGCAGCGGTGTCAACGTTGCAGTGCGGGTTGGATAACAGCGGATTAGCTAATATCTACTCCGTAGTTAACTAACTAGTTAGTGAACCTGATCACCCCTCATCCCTGCGGCTGGCTTCGAGATAGTTAACTAATTAATTCGTCTGGGTGCTTCATTGCCGGCTGGTCTCGGAAGATGCTGTCGCATTCAAACTGTTTGATGATGGAAAACTGGGCAGAATGAAATTCTATGTAGAACGTTTAATTTGCGCGAATCATTGGCGAATAGCGTATGGCTTGCAGGCCGCTTGCATAAAAATTCAATGAGATTCATGGTACGGAGTATACAGCATGTAATTGACCCCTTGTCTTCTTGAGCGTCAAATGTTCTGTTAGTACAGAGAAGGTAGGGTAACTAATGGATAACTATGGAATTCATGAGCCACTTGATAGCTTCTCCATCTTCAATCGCCCACAATCAAAGAAATCAAATGTCGGCGCGACGCGCATGACACAGTTAGTTAACTACCAAGTCTCAACAGTCTCCGAGGCATGAGCTACATTGAAAACCTGTTCTACCCCAACCTCTGTTAGAGACATAGCCAGAATGTCTCTTGCTATAGAACTAAAAATGGTAAGTTAGGGAAAAAAAACAGCTTACTAACTACTCTGTAGTCTATACTGTGTTGATTCACTACATATCTTAGGAGGACTATGACATCTTTGACTAACCAAGGAAGAAATCCTGTCTCGCGCCTGTCCTGCGCTGTTTCTGCGCCCTCCACAGGAATTGTCACCCACTATTTCAGTCATCAGCATATCTCCCAGTACGGCTGTAGCCAACGCCAGCCAAAGTCTCCCAGAATAGGTGACCGACCTCTATCTTACACTTCCAGCCTGGCGATGAACTGGTGCGGATCCGCGGCCAGCGAGAAAGCCCTGAAGTATGAAAACGCTGTCAGATTGTGTCTTGAGAGAACAGTAGCTGGGAAAGGGTAGTGAAGGCAGCAACTCATCCAGGAAGGCCTCGGACATCTGACACCTTTATACAATTGCCTACTGTGACCAGTACCGGTCTCCTAGTCTGATCCCGGCTGCGACTGTATATACCAGGTACTTGCGTAGCGACTGTAGTCCTATGCATGATCCGAATTTTGAATATCTCACAGCAAATCCCAAAGCCATACAAGTTTATAATCGTAAAAGTATGTCCATCCGGCAGTGGGAGCACTTTGTGAAAAACGCTTATATCTACCGATGTGCCTCAGCTGTTCGGTGTACCGAACTGCATATGTTCTCGATGGACAGCTGGATCCTCTGGTTTGTTATTAGTGTTAACACCCGGTCAAATTCTTTTTGGCACGGCCCCAGCATGTTCGCAGTAACCAAACACATAGGTAGCCGATTATGGGCCCTTTTGAATGAATCACCGGGGTCGGAGGGGGGAAAAAAGGTTAAACTGATCAACCGCGGACCCATGAAAGGAACAAAAACCGGATCTAGAATCAGCTGATGATGCATTTGTGGCTAGAGCCCTAGAACAGACACTAGAAACATCCCTATTACCACTGATCGCTGACAATAAAGCCTGCCAGGAACTGCCCGGTCGCGGTGGACGACAACACCAGTGCCGGGATGCCGTCCACGTAAATGTTCATTCTTCCGGCGAGATGCGCTCCAACACAACAGACATGTATGTTTGAACCCATCATTAAGACCTGACCGTCTTTACCCTTATCAAAATGATATTCAATATCTTTTCAAACGCCATAATCCCAACACCTCAGGTCATACGGGTCGCCTTAGATCGCCTTCTTCTTCGCGCCACCCTTAGAGACATCGGCGATTTTGAGAGCTATGGGAAAGGCATGTTAGCAGACCAAGGTCCGACGGGATAGCTTGAGGCGAAAACGCCAAATTGATTGCAAAAATCCCGTCAGGGGGGTTTCCATTGGCGTTGTCGGACAATTCAGGGAGCGGTGACCGAAATTCGGAGTCACGTACCAGGAGGCAAGCTCTGCTTCAGCTTATCTGCCTTATCGGAGTCCCTCAGGACGAGGGTGTAGAGGAAACGCTTGCATCGAACCTTGAACTTGATCTGGTTGGTCTTGCGGTTGCGCTTGATGCGGGCAGCTAGAGACACACGGTTGCAACGGTTAGACTTTCAATTGTAAAGAGCAGTGGTTTCGCGATGGATCAACCGCGGGTCCGGACGATTCAGCTGCGTTGGGCACCGGGCGATTCACTCACAGGAGGCATCCTTGCGCCTGCAGATCTCGATGAACTGCTTGATATCGGAAACTTCGGACGGCATGGTGGGCGATTGACGAGGAACGACAGCAGACCGGCGATTGCTTTCTGTCTGTGGAGGGGATGAAGACTCGCTGGCCGCTTTCGCCGGCCTGCCGTTGTGGGCGAATTAGGGCTTGGCGGAAAAGCCCTAACTACCAAGTTAACTTAGATCGGTTGATTATGTAGTTATATAAGCAAACCCGCTATGCCTATTCGGTTGCTAGTTAGTTTTAGATTTGGGCCAGCTGGTGTCGCTTTTCGTCATAGCAATTCTCTCTCCCCCAGGAACTATCAAAACGTGTCAAGGCTGCCGCTTTTTTCTCAAACTCAAAAATTCCTTGACCGTTTAGTTCTCTTTACGCCCGTGTCTATTCCTCTATTCTGCATACAATGCCTACAAAGCTCGATAGAGTGTTGCATTCAAAGGTACGAAGTAGAAAATATGCCTTCCCCGTCTAGGCACAATCAGGCCCCTGGACTCCTCGAATAACATGCCCTGTTATAGAACCTCCTGCTTGGTGAACCCTGCAAACCTTGATCTCCCAATGCATCTCTAACTCGGTCTCAAGGCTTTGCCGGGATAATAACTGCGGTTGCAGCATGGAGCATCTGGGGAACCGAGATGTTTCCCCCGGAGCCTGACCCGACAGGCAGTAAGTGCGCATGATCCGCTACCAAAAGGAACAGGACGTAACCTGCCTGCTTGCCCATAGACCCAGAATTCTGGACGCCAGAGGAATTGAAGAGATGGCTCCGAGCGGTAATCATATCCTGCGATGCGAAGTGGAACCAGAGGGGAAATGGGTTTCGCAGTTGCTAACATTTTGTCCCATTCACAGCGTGACCTTCTTCCGAGTGACGTACTAACACAGCAGGAGCTGCTTGAGCGAGTTCATGCAAATATGCGTCCGTCATCAATGTCGTGATTTGCTCTCAGACTGCGTTTCTCCCCGAGTGTTATGGCTCCATGTCCTTCAGTCAGAACCGTAATCGAGCCGAATTCTCATACTTTCATTTGCATCAAATTTGTGTAATTTATGTTTTCTCTTTGTTGGATAGCCGGTGCCCCCGCGTACGTAAAGCCGCATATTATTGAACCCTCCCATCACATTCCCGTTTCATCAATCCCGTAGCAAGACCCTACCTGGCCGGAGCTAGAAGCAGAAAGGGGGGAGGTCCTAGATCCGCGGATAGCCATAGAGTGCAGCTTCTATTAGACAACCAGTCGGAAGTTCTGACTCTGGATTAACCAATGTTTCTTCCCTCTCCCTTTGAACCCACCATCAGCCTGGGGATTGGGCACCAGCACGAACGTTTCACTAAACCCTCGGTTCGGCGTGTCAAACGATTCTTTACCCTCTCCAAATCGAACGTAACCGCTCACAAGTACCAAAATTGACATGTTTCTCGCAGCTGCTGCCCCGCCTCTCGGTCGCCCTTGGATGTCAGGCTGCAGCCCTGCGGCCGTAGGATAGCTCGGGTTAAGCACTTGACAATCATAAGATTGAACTTCGTAGTATGCAGATGGCATCTGATTCATAAATATATCTTGAACAGCTGCACCATCGGCAACTGCGTTTCCGTTGAAGAGTATCGACGCGCTAGGTTGGGAATAGAAGCTGGAGATGGTAGGCCGGGCAGACTGGAGGGCAGAGTAGAACGACTGAACGAAGTCAGTTGCAGCTACGAGGAATATTAGTAAATGTGACTCGATAATGCAAACTCGGCGGTAGGAAGCAAGAAGGAGTGTAAATTACCATCGGTGGACACTTTTGTGAGCGTGTCTTCGGTCACTGCAGCCATATCGGAGGTGTAAGTATGGCAGCCGATCCCCCCAAAATGGAAGATTTAGAAAACTTCTCGATGCGAAATGAACTGGTTGATAGCCTATCCCGATATAGAGCAAACAAATAACAGCCCAACTGGACGTTGAGGCAGTTGACACTTGCTGGCCGTAACGAGCTCTCTGGCTGCATGCAAAAGTTCTGAAGCTTTGACCACAAAAAGACAAAAAGAGAGTTTTGGGCTTTTTTGTCGGCCGCTGAGCCCGGCACAAACAGTTTGGCATCCACACCTCTACTTCGCAACCACACCACTGGATATGTTGGATTTCGGACTCCGCGTACTGCCGCTGATATCAAGGCTCCCCAAATCTCCAAGAAGGCCTTGGCAACGTGCTCCGTGTCGATGTACCATCCCGCTGTTAACAAGGCGCGGCGTAGCGTCCGCCAGCTCCAACCAGCGAAAGCCGTACTATGTTACGACGCCCATCTTCTATGTCAATGCCTGTGAGACGCTCCCAGAAACAACGCATGATCCATAAAATCCATAGATGCTGATTGTATCATGTAGCACCCCACGTCGGACACCTGTATACCCTCGTTTTGGCAGATATCTTGAAGAGATGGCAAGTCCTCCTCGGCAACAACGATGCCCAATTGCTTACAGGGACGGACGAGCATGGGATAAAGGTGCTGATAGCCGAGCTCTACGCTCCGTTTCTTCATTGGTGTTAACGAAAGGCACAGATCCAGCAAGCGGCCGCTTCGCACGGTCTCGAGCCCATTAAACTATGTGATCAGAACTGCCAGACCTTCAAGGTACCAGCCCTCCCCATGCATGAGATCTCGGTTTAGTGCTGACTTGCATAATAGGACCTGGCTCAAAAAGCCAATGTTCAGCACGACCACTTTATTCGGACCACAGACCCCGAGCATCGCGATGCAGTTCAGTACTTCTGGGTAAGCATAAAAGCTACGCTCGATCAAAACAAGTTTGGCTTATCTAGACTAGGAAATGCTTGACCATCGGGGCTATATCTATACAGCAAAACATGAAGGATGGTATTCCGTGAGCGACGAAACGTTTTACCCTTCCAACGCCGTCCATGCAACGCTTGACCCGGCGACCGGTCGGAAAATAATGGTATGAAATCGGGGCATGGATCCAGTAACAAAGGCTAACGGGCCGATAGTCGACAATTGAGACAGGCAAAGAAGTAGAATGGTCCTCCGAGACTAATTATCACTTCCGGCTTTCCGCATTCAAGGATAGACTGCTCGACTTCTACCGTGAGAATCCAACGTTCATCCGCCCGAAGAGATACATGGACAATATTGTGCAGTCGGTATCGTCAGGACTGACCGACCTGTCGATTTCACGACCAGTCCAACGGTTAACATGGGGCATCCGTGTCCCCGGTGACGATACTCAAACGATCTACGTTTGGCTTGATGCGCTCATCAATTATCTCACGTATGCGGGATATCCTTTTACTCCCGGGAAGGAAAACCAAAGTATATGGCCTGCGAACGTACACGTGGTTGGTAAAGACATTCTTAGGTATTTGCTCGTTCAAGTCAAAAGGCGGACGCTTGTCCAGGGGCTGATTTGGATGCTAGGTTTCACTGCGTCTACTGGCCAGCCTTCCTCATGGCTCTAGACCTTCCATTGCCACGCCAAGTTCTGTCCCACGCCCACTGGACGATAGGGCGGGAGAAAATGTCAAAATCTACCGGTAACGTGGTGAATCCGATGTATGCGCTAGCCCGCTTTGGCGTGGATCCGCTGCGATTCTACCTCGCTCACGACGGAGGTCTCTCCGATGATGCCGATTATGAAAATGCGTTTGTCACCGAGCGGTACAAGAAAACGTTACAATGGGGGGTCGGGAACCTGACAAGTCGACTTGTGCGGTCAAAAAAATGGAACGTTCGAAGAAGCATAGAATGGGGCGTGGAAGGCCGATTTCCGCCGCCGTCTGAGGCCGATCGAAAGCATCAGCAGCTATTGGAAGGGATCCGTAACGTTACAAGATCCTGGATGGACGATTTGAACCCACGAAAGGCGGTTGAAAGCGTAGTAGGCATTATTCACGAGGTGAGAAAGGAGCCTAGCCCGAACTAGAGACACGGTGAGACCGTTTGACCGCTGACAATTATATCAAAAAAGACAAATAAATATTTTCAAGAAGCCAGGCCCTGGTCTCTGGCTGAACAGTCTGAAAACACCGAGCCAACTGAACTCAGCCGTGTGATATATAACACCGCAGAATCCTTGCGAATTGCCGGGATTCTCCTACAGCCGTTCATGCCAGAGAAATCGGCACGTCTTCTCGATATGCTTGGCGTTGCGGGGGATCCTGAGAAGAGAAGTTTCGAAGCAGCGATCTTTGGCGCGGATGAGCACTACGGCGTGCCGCTGGTGGAGTTGAAGAAGGGCACAGAGGCGACACTCTTCCCCCCTCTTGTGACTGAGAATTGATCAATCCGCGAGCACCAGATATCCGCGTCTTCGAGTCCTCATGGAAATCGCGGCTGAAGTATGACACTTATGATGGCATTGTGGGAAGTTAGTTTTTGGCGGTGCCCCCCGAAGTCCGGCCACAGTACGAACTCAAATCCAACCTCGCAGATTTTATTTTTAGTGTTCGATCGTTCCCCGGTGCCAGTTCAACTAACCTGAATAATGACCACCCAACGTACTCACGCACACCGACTTCTAAGGTGGCAAGGACGCGATGTCGGCCGACAACATGATCTAGAACGCTGCACCTGAGAGCCCTAACCGCGGTGATTTTGCGCCTTTTTTTTTTTTTCCTTCCCTTTTGGCTTTTATTTTTGGCTTTGCGTCCGTCTTCCCTCGAAGCTTGCGGATAGTTCGCCGGTAAACCAAGGCTCGGATTCCGACGGGAAACCGCAGCAACCCCAGGGCGGTGGGCTCGGGAAAGTCCATCGTGCCAAGCAGAACCGCGTACGCTAAACCCGAATCTGCCGGGCGTCGCTCGACTGTTGCGCGCCGGTCCATCAGCTTCCACCCAGAAAACTCGACTCCGGCGTCTCCATCTAGACAGAGGATCAATTGCGCCAGCATGGCGTTTCCTCTCCGTTCCTTGATTGTTTTTACTCCATCGAAATCTTAATCCCCCGCGATGTACCGTTTCATTTCCATGTCTCATGCACCCACTCTATTTCCGACAATAGCCAAATCCTCCCTGGTCGTTCTGGGTCCTTCGTCACCCGTCTATAAATTAGCCACTATGCCGGCAATCATGGATGTTTTGATCCTCATATAATCATTTCTCGGGACTCTGGACCAATCCTATATCCCCGTGGCATTTATCCAAGTCTCAAGAGATCTACCTGCCCTTGATCGACCAACCCTCGATCCCACCAGGGTACCCTCTGAGAAATCTCTTGTCTTCATATTACTGTATAATTATTAGATAAATAAGAATCTTTCAATCTGCACTTTCCATCCACATCAGCCTCCGAGTCGGGAGATTCATTAACTTCACTTTAATTTTCGACATCGTTCCCTATCCACAATGGGTAGCTTTGAGGATTGTCGGCAGCAGAGAAGGCCGAAGCCATGGGTTGAGACTCCGCTGATTGAGTCGCCTTCCATGTCGCGGATGGCGGGCTGGTATGTCTCTCGATACGGTGGATAAGGGGAAGCGGGTTCTAATCCACGATTTGCAGTCGCATCTTTCTCAAACTTGAAAATCTCCAACCCAGCGGTTCGTTCAAGTCAAGGTAGGTTCCTCCCACCCTTCAATTTCGCCGCTCAGACTAACCTGCACCCCCAGAGCCATCGGCAATCTTGTCCTGTCCTACGCTTCAGACCCAGCAAACCAAGGAAAGCAGCTTCATTTCTTTATTTCATCCGCCGGTAATGCAGGCCTCGCGGCTGCTACGGCGGCCAGTGCACTCTCGTACCCATGCACGGTCTGTGTGCCAACCAGCACGAAACCCGTCATGGTCAACAAATTACAGGAAGCCGGCGCCACAGTCGCGCAACATGGTGCAAATCTCGATGAAGCATCGATCGAGATGAGAGCCATCATGGACTCACTTCGGAGAAAGCCAGCAGAGAACGGCGATGCTAAGCCGGTCGTCCCGATCGCATTACATCCGTTTGACCACGAGAAGATCTGGGAGGGTGTTAGTACAATGGTCGATGAACTCGCGTACCAGATGCCTCCGCGCGAGCACGAGATGGGAATTGGAGAATTTGAAGACGAAGTCCTCCCCATCGATGGGATCATCTGCAGCGTCGGCGGTGGCGGACTCATGAACGGCATCATCCAGGGCATCGAGCGCCAAGAACAAATGTACGGCAAAGCCAGGGCCGGCTCCACATACAGCAACTCCGCCGAGACAGGAAAGGATATCCACATCATCGCAACGGAGACACATGGTGCCGATGCCCTGGCCCAGGCAGTCGCCAAACGTTCACTGGTCTCGCTGCCGGGCATAACATCGCTTGCTACGTCCCTAGGGGCCATCCGCGTTGCTCAACGAACTCTAGATAATGCCCTGTACCCGCCGGCCGGGGTCAAGGTGCACACGTTGGTTCTACAAGACGCAGATGCTGCAAAGGGTGTATTGCGATTGGCCGAGGAGCAGAAACTGCTGGTTGAACTGGCCTGCGGCTTATGCGTTGAAGCAGCGCTTGGCCCAACACCGTGGACCCGCAAGAGCCCAGAGAAGCGCGTGAATGGTGCCCATAAGGCCGTCAATAATAACCTGAACGATTACGGCACCGAAGCAACGGACGTTCAATCGTATCTTAGCCGATTGATCCCCAACTTTGGCCCCGATACTCGTGTCGTCATTGTCGTATGTGGAGGAAGCAATGTCTCATTGCAGATGGCAGGGGAATGGCGACAGAAACTCGATGAGGGATGGGGGGCTGAAAATGGCATTCTTGCATGATAGAGCTTTACCCAGGTGGCCGCTGTATGATTTAATGCACTACTGTCCAATGTGGCTATGTTTACTACCTGTTTTGATATTCTGGCGATGGGATGTAAGGCGTTTTCGAGGGTGGGAAGAATTCTAACTTAACGATACGTTGATTTTTGGCATTGTACCCAACGGGCGTCATAGATTAGACAGTGCTTGCGGATCAAAAGATTGCTCGTCGAAAAACGAGAAAAAGAGAAAAAAGAAAAAAAAAGGGTCAAAAGAACAATCCACATCAGTGATTCTTGATCATGTGAATCCGATAATCCCAATAATTTTTCCGAATAGGATCATACTTCTCCTTCAATAAAGTCAACATCTTAACCGCCTCGATCTTGCACTTCGCAGTCTCTGTCCTGCATCCCTCTTTGGCTTCTTCAGCGAAAGTGTCTGCTAACCATTCCATGGCTAGGCTGCTTTTAACCTGATAGTCGATAGTGTCACCGTCTTGAACCTCCTCGACGACGAACCTGGACGCGAACGTCTTCAGTTCCGCCATCGGTCGGCCTGCTGCGTGAAGCACCCCTCGCACATAAGCCCAGGGGCTCCTGTTTTCTGGGGCAAGGACGATCTTGCTCTTTGCGTATTCTATCTCGGTGTCTACAATGTCCTCGTCAGCGATTTCAAGGCGCCCACGGTTACCACTCTGGTCAGTAGGGTTCGGCATGCCAGAGTCAAACTTGTCTCCTCGCGGACCGAATTTCAGAACCCAGCGATGATTCCACGCCGAGTTGTTCCGGACGTCCGAATCGATCAGATTTTCGACATCGCTCAGTTCGCGCGGACAGTCCCAGAGGGCAAAATGTCGCACGAGCCAGTGACGATATGTCCAAACGTGGTAATTTTTAGAATCCAGGGAAAACATTTGGCCAAGGAAGTCCTGCTCTGATTCAGGAAGATCAGGAAAGGTTTCGCGGTCTGACATGATCAGCTGACGATGATGCCTGGGAAGAGAGCATCAGTATATGCACAGGGTGCTGCAAGGAGGGGCGCAGTGGATGGGTAGAGACCATATCTGATAGTTCTTCAAGTGTTTGAGCGAGATCTTGTTTAACCATGCAATCTCCTCGCGGAGATCCTTCTTGAGCGCTTGGATTATCTTAGCTCTGTATAACCTGTATGTTCACTCATGGTCAGTCACGATAGGGCTTCAAGAGCAACCTTTGAAAAGAACTCGATCCGAAGCAAGCTCCCCTCATACCTTCAAGGTTAGGGTCTTTGAAAGTACACCAAAACGAGAGAGAGAGAAAAAAAAAAAAAAAAGGAAAAAAAAGGCAGATCAGATCAGATAATGAATGTTACAAAGATTTGGGCAACATGCCAGCCTGAGCCCAGTATCGGCGGTTCATCGCAAACACAACACTTTTGGTAGAAACAAACGGCAACATACCACACAGTATAATGGGCTGGATTCAGCATGATCACATCCGCCGTTAGCTCTAGCGCTCTCTCCGACATCTCATTGGCCGCCATCACGCCTCTCAGATAGGCTGTGGCCTCAGCATAGTCCTCAGTGTATGTGATTGTGGCCAAAGGGTATGTTTCGTCTCCGTCTTCGCCGGAGCCAGAGCCCTGAGCATAGTACTTTGCCCCATCGTCCAGGGGGATGGGCGTGAGCGAGGACCAGAGGGGTGAAGAAGAATATTTGCCCATGCTTGTATTTTGTTACGTCGCGATCCTATCAATGAAAGCAGGCTTATTCAGGACTTTAAGTCAGCTGCCGCGTTAAGTAGCACTATATTATCGGGAGATGCGTTTTGTGTATTGTGCAAAGAGCACCAGGGCTCACATAGTTCAGATATTTTCGAGCTTTGTCAGTTAACTAGTTAACTACTCCGTAGTTGGTTGGTTGATAGTTAAATAGTTATCGGAGGTTGGAGGGGCAAAAATCTTCAAACAATAAAACAAGAAAGAATGCGAAGTAAAATATGCTATTGTTCTCGAGTTCGCCATTCTCCGAGTTATTTATTCCGCACTTTTGACAAACGCAGTATTCTACATTGCCGCAATCGTCGGCCTCGTTTTAATTAAGGCTGCATTCGTCTCCAACCGTCAATGCAATGCGTCAGAAACGGCCAATTAGCTCTATAACCGGCTGGTATCTACTCCGTACATACAGTCATTAGGTAGACACAACCCCGAATCTAAATAATGGAACCCCATTCCTATCCTCCTCATACGTAGGACTGGAAGACGGTAAAATCCTTCAAGAAGCAGAAGCCATGCGGACCAGCCTGGGAATATTAGTAGGGATATTAAGCCCGAGGGCATAAATAATTAATACATAGAATACGCTATGCATGAACAGCAGCGGCAGCGGCAGCTCATCGGAAGATTCTACAGTCTCTCTCAGGATCAGCTCAGATGCCCACGCCTCCAGAATTTCCACCCTTCACGGACATCCGGCACGCCCACACCAACCAGCTGTTCAATACCGTGGTTTCCCACTGCATTCTCAAACTTCTGCTGGTCAATCTCTTCTCCGCCTTCCTCGTCGGTGCCATTTTTCAGGACAGCCGGCCAGAGAACGCCAACGCCCTGCCCACCAAGTGTCGTCTCGTATCGCTCGTATCCCTCCTCGTCCAGCTGTCTTTCGAGTGGCTTTAGCGCAGTCGACTCACGGTCAGTTCTGATCAGAGTAATGGCACAACCGCCTCCGCCAGCACCGGTCAGCTTTGTCCATCCTATGCCGGTGTGATCGACCAGTTCTCGGATGCGTTCTAGACGGGGGTGTGATACGCCGAGGGAGACGAGGAGACCGTGGTTTATCCGAAACAGAGTGCCGAAATAGTTCAGGGTCTCACTAGAATTTTTATCGAAATTCTCTGACGAAATGAAGTCGTGTGCCGACGTTGTGACTTGGTCGATTCCATCCAATAGGCAATCTGTAATCGCGGGGTGTAATTTCTTCAGCGTGCCAACCTTGGCTACCTCCGTCGCCGTAGATCTAGATTGTCGAGAATTGACGAGCAGAAGCGGCAGCTCCGGGAAATCCAAGATTGGAATGACCGTCGGTGGTTTAGAGTAGTCACCTCGTCGGAAGATAACAGCCTTTCCCCCCGCCGACACCGTGTTATCTACGCCGCTTGGGTTTCCGTGGATACACAATTCCCCGACAAACGCCCAGCGGTTGATACGCTCGATCTGTACCTCTGATTCATCGAACGGTTGATCTGGGTGCGGCCCAGCCAGGGCGCGAATCTGCAGCAGCAGAGCGGCGCTAAGGCAGACGCAGACGCTCGCGCTACTTCCCAGACCAGCACCGATTGGAATCGTCGATCGGAGGGTGTATATCGCGCCGTGCGATTGTGGTGAGCCGAGGGACAGGTAGAGGTAGAGGAAAGCGCTCGCTGATCCCTGGTGTACTTTTCTTACTTCGGGAGGCTTATCCGGCGAAACGTTCGATATGTGCGGTCTTATGGCGTCCAGCAGGTCAGGATCTAGGGATGTAACGCGGTCGTAGTAGAATTTCTTCTTCGAAGAGTGATTGAAGACGTCCCAGGGAAGGGAGTCGATGTCCCAGGTGTGGTCCAGGCCGGTGTCGCGGAAATTCAAGGTGACAGTTCGACGGGATTTGGACAGTGTAGTTACAAGGAGGTAGGATCGGAGAGAGATGGCAGCAGCCATCGCTTTCTTGCCGTGCACAACAGCATGCTCACCAAAGACAATCACTTTTCCGGGAGCCGAGACCATAAACGGAGGAGCCATGGGCGACGAAGGCTTACGGGACGCATTGGGCCTTCTGGTCGAGCTGGGCGATCGTTGGGGGTCGACGGAGAGGCCATCTCCGCCGAATTGGCTTGGGGAAGGAGTCGGCATTCCGTCAGAGCTCTCCGTCATCGATTCTTCGTTCTGGCCGTTGCTGGAAGCCGCTGTGTCCTCTGGTCTCATCGCGATATTGCCTCGCTCAGCGCCCAAGTCATCCACGACGAGGCTGGCGACCTTTCGTCGTCCATTGGCCTTTTTGCCCCGGACGCTTCCACCCTTCTTGCGCTCCATGTATCCAGGAATATGTCTGTGTGCTATGTATTTGTGGAATTGAGTTGGGTGGCACGGACGATGGGGTCATGCGGAGCGTCGAGTAACTATCCCGGACGAGATGCCGTTACACGGTGAGAGCTGGTCGAGAATTGCGAGGGATCGAAACACGAAATACTACAGAGGGAGTCGTATTCGACAACAAGCCAATACGAATCAGCTTCGGAAGTGCCGGGAATTTCACTCAAACAGAGCGCATGGACCAGCTCGCTTCGCCCCCTTGCGCAAAGGGGTATTGCCGTCAGTTTCTTAGTTATTCCAACGCTCGTCGAGGTTTCACCCACCATCACCGACGCGCAGCCCGGCCGCCGGTCCGCGGAACAACGTATTTGCGCCGCCCCAGCTTGTGCTGAGATAAGCAAGAAAGGGGGGCTGTGGAAGGCACTAAACCCGATAGAGAAAAGGTACAATTAGACTAAATTTGGCCTAGCGTGGTATAGTGTCCTGACTGCAGCCAATCAGAAGACGGCAGAAACTAAACAGGTTCCACCAATCGGCTGCTACCGAAATGCTCAAAATCCAGCGCTTAACAAAATCCAAACCACCAGTGAGGAGGGAGGAATCCGTTCTGATTTATTTAGATGTACTCCGTACTCCGTACAGTGACTCCGTATTTAGCAACGTTGATTTGAACGCTCAATGTTCTACTATTTGCCTAATTCAGTAATAATCTGGTGGATAATCTCGATTCTCAGTGTATAAAAATGTTCACAACCGAGTATATCCGACGTTCACGAACGATTTTTCGAACGAATTCGTTTGGAAGTTTAATCAAGAAATTCGACAAACGATCAACCAAGCTTTGGTTAACTAGTGGCTATGGGCCCGGAGCTCAATCCAACGCTTGGAAGCCCTACATTGGCAGCTCAAATGCCCAACTTCAACCGTTATCAACCTGCTGAATAGCCCGCCGAACCGACTGCCAAATAACCCGCCGAACAGAGTGCCGAATAGCCTGCCGGATGGACTGCTACTGCCAGAGAGCAAGCGAGGAGAGCCACGATCCTATTGAATCTCAGACCAACGTTAATAGCATACGCCCCGCGATTCGATTTAGCCATATACATACACGTACAGATGAGCACCTTGAAGCTGGAGCATCGCAAACGGTGAGTTGTACAAAGAATTCAAAATCTGGATGGCCTGCTGGCTTGCGTAGCTTTTGCCAGGAGCAATTCAATCGCTCAATTGTTCATCCTGACCGTATTCTAAACGTGATCTCCAAAGGTCCATTGAGGGCGGAAGAGACCAAGCGTTTGGCTGATCTCTTGGTAGTAGCAAAGGCTGCCGGTCAATCCTCACAGGGATGATATTCTAGTATCCACTGATTATGAAGGAATTCGGTAGTAGCTAGGATCTCATTGCCACGCGTTAGAAGGCCAGTAAGGGTATTGAATCCAATTCCAGCGGCTTTGGCCCTACTAAGGGACACAATATTTGTATCGATTTCAGAGACTTCATTATCGAATATAGGGTAGCGATTTCCACGCCACTAGTCAGGGGAACTAGGTATTGGGTAGCGACCGTAGTAAAAAGGTGTAAGGATTCGCCCGCGAACCACTTGATGGGAGTGGATGTGTACCTCGCCCGCGAGACACTAAGTCACGTGCTCGCAAGCGCGCATAGAGGCAGCCACTGCGCGAACCCCTTAAGCAATGGAAGCCAAGTGACAATCTTGTCTACGGTCGTACACAGTTGCCAGAAGAACATAAGACTTTTACCTTGTGTATTCCTTTTCCACATACAATTCCTACTAGAGATTCATTATCACGCTGATCCGCGAAGTACGATCCTCACATTTTGCCACTCATCCTTTGGTGACGCCTGACAATGGTCTCTACACAAAGAAGCCAACCCCCTGAGACTCGCGAACCTAGTACGCCAGCAGAGAACCAACCTGAACAGCCACCTACCCTAGTTCGCGAGGAGACTACAAATCCTGACACCTCAGCTCTCTCAACCGTCGACGAAACTGAAACAAACTCCGCGACCTCAGAGAGAGAGTCTACTTTAACATCAAAAGATGAAATCCAACAGCTTCGCGAGAAAACCAAACTACTAAAGAAAATGGTGAAATGGCAAGCAAAGTTGAATGACACTCTCCAAACCAGCCAAAAGCACTTGCGAAGTGAATCCCTTGATATAGCTACCTCCAATCCAACACCCGCGAAGCGCTCGTCAGTTTTGAGCCCACTGCAACACACAAAGCTCTACCAGACTGGCACCTACAAAGAATACCGGCGGTTCACCTCCAATATTGAATCCATTCGCGACGCCAGCGGATTGAATAATGAGGAGACCCTCGCGTACGCCCTCATTGGACTCGACTATATTGAGAGCGAGCTTTGGGGGGTCTACCGCGAACAGAACCCATTGAAGAACAACTGGAATGGCCTCAAGGAATTCCTACACATGAGGCTAGGAGATCCGACAAACCGCACGCGAAAATCTTGGCGAGCACTTTTTAGCCTTCGCAAGAGTCCAGATGAAACCGACTATGCCTATCACCGACGATTCCTGGAGCGCACATTAGAAATTGGTGAAGAATTTGAAGACCTCGCGAAGCTAAAGAAGAACCTCTTTATATGGAGCTTGGATAAGCCCATGCGAACCAAACTGGATGAACAGCTGGAAATACCAGATGACATTGATGACATAGTAGCACTGGCTACCCGACTCCGACCAAGTGTGTCAGTGGCCTATGCAAAGAATGCCCCACACGCGAAGCCTACCAATCCAGTTGGAAGTGCTCGCAGAGGTATGAAGACCAATGACTCAAGGCTGCCAATGGATAAGAGGAGTCAACCCCAGAGACCCGTACGGGAGATGGGGAAGGACCTTATCAAGGATCGCGAAGCCTTAAGGAAGGATGGGAAGTGCTTTGAGTGTCGCCAAAAGGGGCACCTCGCGAGAGACTGTCCCAAGAAGAAGGCGTGGCTTGACGTTCGCAATATCAAGACCACCTAGCCTAACAAGAAATTGGACTTGTTGAGGCTTGGGTCTTGTAGGATTGTGGAGAGGGTAGACTCACAAGCCTACAGGCTGGAGCTGCCTCCAGGTCTGCGAACTCATAACAGTTTCCATGTATCCCTGCTCCGCGAGCACGAGACCCGTGAAGGAATAGATAGCTCACCTCATCATGAAGTTCGCGAGACAGACAAGGATGAGAGGGTGTATCAGATCCGCGAGATAATTCACTCAAAGAGAGAGGATCACAAGCTGTGGTACAGAGTGCATTGGGAAGGTTATGATGATGAGAAGGACAAGACATGGGTTCTGTGAGGACCACAACCCTTCTGACTGAGCTGGCAGACCAGTGGAAGGTTGTGCCAGGGCGAAGCCCTAAACCCTAGGCAGAGGATTCACTAAAGGAATAAATGTTTATCCAACATGGAAGCTTATTGTGTGTATATAGTGAGCTCTCACCCTGAACCCCCTTTCTAGAGCCTGTCTTAGTATTTTGTTATTATAGCTACCTAGTTGGCAACAGTGATTCTCTTCCTACAGCGCCTAGCTGAGCTCCTAACATAATATTAAGACCTACAACATCTTTGGCTCTTTGGAGATTCACAGTTAAAGTCTCCAATGAACAAATGAATGAATGAATGAGTGAACCAACAAACAGATACTGAATACCAGAATGGTGAGCTCCAACTCTAGTAAAGAAGTCTGGAGATCAGACTAGGAGCTCATGGCATGGAACCCAGAGAACATGGGCTCTGCAACAGTGATCTCAAAGAAAGGCTTCCTGTGTGCCTTGGAGAAAGATACCAACCATGTGCATAGAGAGATAGCACAGTCTATGGATAGTGGAAGGTTCACCATGCAGCAACTGCAAACTAAGAGGAACAAACTACATGAATATGTTCAGGAATTAGATACACAGGCTAACATCTTGGTGATGGAGAAGAGGACCTCCAACAGGCAGTTATCAATCTTGTGATGCAGGCTTGAGCCAGCAGTGTTGAAAGCATTGGTGGAAAGAAGAGCAGCAAGATGACTGACCCTAATCTCCTCTCTGATGAGAAGAATCCTGTGTTCAAGCATTGGGCCTTCTGAATGAAAATGTTAGGGAACCCAACATAGATTTTGTGGTTGTTCCCAGGATTGGGGGATATGAAAGAGCTAAGTAGGTCCGATGCCCGCAACTGATGGGAGGGAGTCATGTGTAGAATGTAGGGGTCCTCTAACTAGGAGACTGAACACTGAGGTTCCCACAATCTGTGCAAATCATGCAATCCTTATATGTTCAGAGTTATGGGTCATATGAGTTCCCCTGAACATCCGATGTCATCTGATGCTTAGTTGACCTACATCCATACAGAAAAGCAAGTTGCAAATCAATAGTGACTACTTTGCTGATGAGAAAAGCAAGATTGCCTACATTGAGAGCTGAACAACAGGAGATGTTGCAAAGCATCTTGCCCCCTGAATGCAAATTGACCACTCAGAAAGGTTCACTACAGTGGATGAGATTTTTGAACACCTGGTAAGCATATATGAGGACCCAAACAAGATTCAAAAGGTCAAGTCTGACAACTGGTGCCTCTACATGAAGAATGGAGATAACTACACATACTTACAGGCTGGTGGATAAGTAAGTAAGCATGAACAGTGGGGCAATCCCTCAGTTGGTGTGTTGTAACGGCCTGAACCTTCAGTCTTGTCAATGCCTCTCTGTCTGGCCCAAACTAACTGGTGAATCAGAGAGACGATCATTCCAGGCTGTCGTGTTTGCTAGTCCAAGTTGAACGGGTGGAGATTCCGACCTTTCCCACTGACTGCACCTCAGCATAAGGTATGGAAAGTGGTCCATCTTGCTGCCTGTCCAATTTAGTGCTGCACCCTTGGTTCACCACAGTCATCAATTCAACACCTACCATCCATTGGTTGATTGTTGCAGGCGCCAGGAGAAAAACAGCAGATGCTCACAGTGAACTCCATTTCCACAACAATTATCCACTGTCGCAGCGCCTATTTGAAGGGGCTCCGAAGCTTGTGAGGCATGGCTCCGCGAGGGACACCCTGGAGCTGGCAGTTCTATCACAAGAGTAAAGATCCTTCCGAGCAGTGTCGTTTGTGAATTGGTTCAAAGCCGAGTCCTGTCAATGCGAGTGCCGTTTGGTAAGGCCTTAGCCAAGGCGACTCCCTCTGAATTACGCTTGCTGGGGGTGGAGGACATCGAATCATTGGTGATGAGAGCTTTCAGGCTGAAACATCTAATGTATCGCCTACCACACGCAGATAGGAGGCTGCTAAAAGAAAGAATTGACGGATGCTTTTAAGTCTCTGACATCCAATCAATTTGCATGAAGTGGAAGAGATTGCGTTCTCGGTGACGCCGCCAATATTCATGCTCGGCCAGGGCTGTTCCCCAACTTAGCGCCAGTATGTCCCTGCGTGCAGATAGTTGCATCACAAAAACAATAATGACTTATTTTGGATCAGAATTTGCTGCTCGAGAGCCTCGCACCTGCCCAGTTAGCCGCCAGCAACTGAAGATGCTGGTTAAATCAGATAATTCACAATGGAAAATATAAATATGAGATCGTTCCATATTTGTTTCCTGAAATTCGAAGTACTTTTTACTATCATATTCATCGATACACTTCTAGCGAATCTCGAAAACCGATTTTACAGAAGCTATGTCTAAGGTTCTCAAGCAGTTTGAGGAAGCCCTTTTTAAGGGCGGGCTTTATAAGAAGCTGTTCCAGAAGCAAACACCAGGAAAACGTATTGCACCAGCGCAAGCAAAGGACAATGACGCCAAATTCCAGGTCCGACTGGACGCCGGCGAGACGCAAAACGGCATTAAGAGGGTTTACTTGCAGGTAAACTCGCAGGCGAAGAACGATTCCCTCAAGAAATGGAGACAGAAACACGGAACGCATAGCAACCTTGCAGTGGGTACTGTGAACGAGAACACTCTTCCAGAAGATCAAGAGGATGCTGCCAAGGCATGTTGGGAGGATTTGTCAGGTCAGGCGAAAGAGAACTTGAATAAAGATTGAAGTCCGTAAGCATTGCATATTGTCAAATACATATTTCTACTTATAATTTTACTGATTGCCATCTTCTGTTACAGTGTCTGTCACCTAGAGTATTGCCGAGTGCACGAAATGATTCCGATGAGCAGGATATCAAAGCTGGATTCCAACATGCGGGGAGAGAGGAGGTTTAAGGTTGGATGTGAGGTTATGCTCCTGTCTTTACTTACTTAATTGTGGAACAATTGTCCAGTGTACTGTACCCTGAACCTCAAAGTACCTCATTACATTAGAGACTGTCGCATTTGGAGTACAGTCGAGAATTTCAACCGAGCACTTACCAACAGTATCTATTTGGTCACTATTCCTACCAAATAGCGTAAGCTGAGGACATGCATACCTTGTCCGCACGATAAGCGCTTAATATTGCTCACCCGGTGCGCAGCCAGCCTGTCTCAGGTAAACTAGTACTTAAGTACTAGAAACAGACTAGTTTGGATTACATCAGTATAAACTAGCCTTTTTGGGGCTAGGTCTGTAAAGGCAACAGTCTCTACGACAGCGCTTAGGTGTTGAATCTCTCATTCTTCCAATTTGTGACAGGTCTTTACCGACGATGCGAAATCGTATCTCCTTCCTCCTACAAAAGATTGGTGCTCCCGGGAAACAAATGAGGCGGAATATACAAATCTCTTGTCGTGGTATGCACTGAATGAACACCGGGTGCTTTCCTTATTGGTTAATATGATCTAGGCAAACCCATCAGTGACAAACAACTCTTTGAGTATACAAATGGAAATTTTCTTGTTAATGAGAGGACTCAATTTGAACGACGTTATGTGAAGTTTAACCTGGCTGCTCTCTGCGCTGTTGCTGCCTCGGCGGGAGGCGAAGAGTCTCCCATTAATGCAGTTGAAAAGATGGAAGGGGGCTTCAGCAAGGCCCTTTTAATGAAAAAGGAAAATGGAATGGAGATTATTGCAAAAATTCCATGTCGCAACTCTGGACCGGCAGTGTACACTACTGAATCAGAGGTGGCTGTTTTGAAATATGGTATGCAAATGGTCTTTCATTCCACAATGTCTGTCAACTTACAACGTATCTCATAGTGAGCCAACATACAAATGTTCCAGTCCCAGAGGTCTACACGTGGTCCTCAGATCCCATGAACCCCGTGGGTGTGGAATATATTATTATGGAGAGGGCAGCAGGGATTCCTGTTTTCAAGATATGGGGTGAGATGTCTCAGCCCAACAAACTGGAGCTCATCAAGCAGCTTACCAAGTTTGAACGTGAACTTTCCTCGATCCAGCTCCCCGCCTATGGCAGCCTGTATCTACGGGCTTTTTGTGGGAACCTTCCAGGATGTAAGCTGCTTGACTTGGACATTGATCCCTCAGAATCATACTGCGTGGGCCGCTCAGGCGACAGATCATACATGCTGGATGACTATAAGGAATGGGATGACTCCAAAATAGATCTAGGACCATGTGAGTATATTTTCGTTATTCCTTTGACGTTGATTCTAATATATGCTCTCAGGGACTACATTATCTGCGTATGGTATTGCGATCGCAAAGCGGGAGATATTCCGTGTTTTACATGGTTCATCACCGCACCCAGGAACTTTCTATCAGGGAAGTCCTATAGAGCGGAAGGGCCTTCTGGAAAGCACTATACACCTTCTGAAGTTACTGGACTCGCATCCCACTCTCGCAAAATCCGCTAAGCCTGTCATCTGGCATACGGATCTTCATATGGGAAACATTTATGTGTCTCCAAATGAACCATCGCAGATCCTTTCACTCATTGATTGGCAATCAATATCCATCCTTCCGCTTTTTTTGCAAGCACGATGGCCAGTCTTCCTGGAACCACCGCAAAATTATGCTCAAGGATTTCAAAAGCCGGGGCTTCCTGATAACTTCGATGAGCTGGACCTGGAAGAACAACAGTTGGCAAGGTATGAGCAGCAGCAAGCTGTAGCCGCCAAGGCATATGAAGTTTCAAACTATCTTGAGAATAGGCCTGCCCATACCGCGATGAACCTTCCACGCGTTTTCCGGGAACTGTTCAAGCGCTGCGGTGAAACTTCAGAAGTTGGAGTTATCCCGCTTCGAGCCTGTCTTATAGAGATCTTCGAGAACTGGCATGAGCTGGGATTTACTGGTGACTGCCCTTACTCCTTCAGCCAAGGGGAGATAGAAGAGCATGATTCCCAGTTCAGGGAATACGAGGATTGGCATAAGGCTCACGAGCTAGCGAGGAAGTGTTTGGATACGGATGAAGATGGATGGATACCTCCCGAGATGGACATCATAGAAAAGCGCCTGCAAAACCAGGAACTACTGGATATGTTCATCAAACAGATGGCGGCGGAGAAATCCCCAGAAGAAGCGCGACGGATGTGGCCTTTCGTTGAAAGCTATTAGGTTACCAAGAAGAGTCTCTAGGTGGAATATACAGCGCAGAGTCTTGCTATTCCTGGAACATTTGTTTGACAATAACTTGGTTGAATGTCTTATTGTTTTTCACCCAAAAGGCTTAATTTTAGGGGTGATCCGGCCAGAGGGATCAGGCCACCACTACATATGACCAATCACGGAACATGTTAGCAGTAGCCATAGTCTGCCTCAAGTAAAAGGCCTGTTTATCAGTCTTGGACAAGCAATGGGTTCATAACCAGTGGTTGGTCGTTGGTCGATCTGGTACTGAGAGGCAAGATAATTCAGAAAAGATGTCAGCAATTCACCATTATGGAACTGCCCAAGGCAGACCAACAAAGGCAAGCGCTGAGCCTTCCCACTTGATGAGAAGGTCCACAAACCTGATGAGGCCTTCAACAGAACTCTCAGGGACAACACAAGAATTGCTTGGATCAAGAAGTGATACCATAAGAAACAGGCTGATATTTAAGACTGAATTAATTATTAGAGAAGATCCTTCAATGGCCTGAGGATAAGTTCAACACATATGTTGAGCAATGATTGAATGTTGTTAAGACTGAGGTTTATAGTGAATATGAAGCACTTGTGCAGCTGCCTCGCCCAGCGTGGCATCCTTGCTCCATGCGTCGGCGGCCAGTATTCCCCATCCAGGAGAACATGTCAGTCGCTCCCTTGTCGTATGGAGTCCGTGACAGCAGCGACGGTCAGCTATCAAAACTGCCTGATCGTCTTGCAGTTGTGACCCTTCTCCTGGTGGGATTCGTCTTGATGAACGCTTGGGAGACAGAGTTGAACCCAGTGACCAATTTTTGACGCACGGTTCGAGGAGCCCAGGTCCGAGAAGCTCATGTTTAAAGGCACAATAGCAAATGGAGGGCAGCTGAAAGTTTGAAAATTCATTCATTGAGTCTGATCTTCAAAAAAAAGAAAGACGTGGAATCCTAGCAAGCCCGCGCCGAAGGTGCCACATTGCATACAGAATCTGGCCATCCACTATCTGGTGAAAACATATTTCCCCCCTTATGCGCCGACATGGATGAATGGTACCCAAGAGATTAAGTCGTTTCTCATCCGTTCTCTCAGCCTCCTGACAGCCTGGTGGAGGGCATTGGCAACGACATCGTGCCTAACACGAAAATCATCTTCTCTCAGGCTGCGCATCAAACTTTCGTAGAACGCGCCGGAAATCCAAGTTGCCGCTTTATCGCTGGCTTCCCAGAGAGTTCCAATGACGTGCGGGAACCCAATCAGCTGGAATGCACTTGCCATGTGTATCACCTCATCAATCAACTCCTTTGACGAGTTCTCGGCCGTGGAACATGCGGACAGAAACGCAATCCGTGCATGCTCATAGCTGATATTAGCAAGCTCTCGCACCGTAAAATGCTCCGCCCGTCCATCTTCACCCGGTCCGAGAAATAATCCGCCGGCTGACGGATCCGTTGAATCAGAATTTCCATGGCATGAGAAGTGTACCATATGGTGTGTGCGAACCTCGTCCAAAACGATTTTCTTGGACGGTTTGTTGAGAATAGTGGGAACGATAGGATAGATGCTCCTTGAGATTGATTCCACCTCCTCAACGGTTTTCAGAGCCCCCATACCAGCAGTTTCCGGCATTGTGACAATGAGCATATTTGGATTTGGCTCAAGTGGGCGTCGAAGTTGTTGCTCACGGGAATACTTGAGGGCCTTCACAGTGGGGATGTAACTGGACACGACGTAATCCAAAGCGGTCTTGTCTGTGTGTCCTGCCGCGTGGAGAGGCATAAGGCCCATATACCCGCTTGTAACCCACCATATATGTGGTAGAGGATTCGAAGGAACAGGTGAAATAAACCGTAACTGACTGAGAACAGGATATACTGCAACATCCCACAACCACCTCAGGATATTTTGAAGCTCTTTTTGCCTTTGAGGTTTCGTGCTGGGTCTGCCGACTGATAACTTGCTTTTTCCGAGCAACTTGCCAACATTCTTCCTTAGATCGTTGAACAAAAGCTCCTCGAGACGCATACCAACGATTGCAGACGTTGTGATGATGAACACGTCGCTTCGATACATGGTAACATTGAAGGAAACAATCGGTCCAAAAACAGCTAGTGTCATCAGATCAGTCGAAGTTGGCGGGAGCAGAAACCGGTCCAATCCTGGTAGTTGTCTGATCTTGCTCTCTATTTCTTCCAACCTCTCGATGTCCCGATGGCGCTGCGTAATCGAGCGGTGAACGTTGGACTGCAACTCATGTGTGCTAAGTTGTATTGTGGATGTCAAGCCGCTTGAAGGGCTAATCTCGGGTTCGGCAATATTTGAGAACGGTACATTGACATGCTGGCGAAGCGTCATGTACTCATAATATAATTCAGGCTTATATTCTTCCAAACGTGAGATGTCGCTCTGGGCGTTGATGATAAAACTGGCGATCACACCGCGGCCAGCCTCGAGAATCTCAACCGCTTCAGCTGGAGTGCCCTCCGCCTGAAGTACAGCAGAGGCCGCTAACGATGAGAAATGTGTGAGGCTCTTAATAAGATGCTGTTGATCGTGCCTGGAGAGCCACCGGAGATTCAATCGTGG